GAGGGCTAGTCTGAAGCTGGTAGTGGCAGGTGACCGAGCTGGAGCTGACACCTGACACCGACCTGTGCCCGCCCCCCCCACGACAACCGCCGCTAGCGCCGCCAGTCCACCACGGCGGCGGGGGTCCCCACGGCGACTGCTGCTGCTGCGACATTTGCGGCAGCGGCTGCGGCTGCCGAGTCTACTGCTGCTGCTGCTGAGGCTACGTCTATTATTGCGGCTGCTCCGGGTCACCAGCCCTGGTCCCCTCATCTGAACCACTGTCCTCGCACTCACCGCCGCCACCCTCCCCACTGCCACCCCCCTTCCCCCTACCACGCCCTCCCTTGGTGTGGCGACCCTTACCCAGATGCCTCTGCGTTGAGGCCGCAGCAGCGGTCTCAGCAACGGCAACAGAGGTGTTAGAGTAGGTGCACTGGAAGGGAGCACAACCCTGAAAGATAGGTATCGCCGCAGTACCGCTAGACCAAGGGATACTGCGCTGGCGGGTCTCTATCGCAGTCAAGGCAGTGACAAAGGCGGTGAGAGTGAGGTCACCCGGGTGCTAACTAAGGAAGCGCTCGCAAGCTGTGGCTAGGCAGTCAGGAAGGCGCATGGCGATGAGATAAAGGGTAGCGCATAACGGTGGTGGAAAGGCAGTGACCTGTGCCTCAGTGCTAGCAGCGTGGTAGCTCATCTCAAGCGCGCGGAGGTGAGTGGCAAAGTCGGCGATAGTGGGGAAGGACGCAAGATTAGGGAACAGCATGGGAAGGATCACGCGACCAGCAGAGGCAGTGGTGGGGGTGGAATAGCGCACAATGACATGATCTAAGAAGGCCTGGGCGTTCGCTATAGTGGTAAAGCGAGGACGCTCAGACAGCAGGAGCGCACGGCTGATAGCAAGCTGGGCGACAGCGTCGCGCGAGTCCCAGATGGCATGATCAAGCGCAGAAGCGGAAAATGCCTCATGCTCAGCAGTGGTGAAGGCATCAGGGAGGGCATCAGTGACCGTCGTGGCACTGACCTGTAAGGTGATGCCGAAGGTCGACGAGCCACGCCTCAAAGTCGAGCGCCCGACCCTCTGCGTCCAACCGGAGCTATGACTCCGACATCACCACTGTTGCAGCTGCAGACGGCCGCTGACAGGGCGAGGAGGACAGGTGGAGGGAGCAGTGGAGAGAGGTGGAGTGTGGTGAAGAGCAGTAGAGTGCGATGCAATGTGGAGGAGAGCGGTGGAGAGCGGTGGAGAGCGGTGGAGTGCGGTGTAGTGCGGTGGAGTGCGATGTAGTGCGGTGGAGTGCGGTGGAGTGCGGTGGAGAGTTGTGGAGAGCAGTGAAGAGCGGTGGAGGCAGCCGGCAGGGGAGCCGGCGCTGAAGGGAGCCAGAGCCGGTGGGTCGGCGCTCGGACTCAGCGGTCCGGCGGCTGGCCGCTGAAGTAGGGACCGGCGAGGCAAGAGCCGGCTGGCTGGGCGGCGGGCTGGCCAACCGGCTGGCAAGGGCCGACGAGTGCATAGGGCCGACTGGGCGCGGGCGGGGCCGGTAGGGCGCCAACGGGGCTGGCTGGGGCGCTAACTGGCCGGCGGGGCGAGTAGGGCCAGAGAGGCGCAAAGGACCGACGGGGCGCTAACGAGGCCGGTATGGCGCGAACGGGCCGGCGGGGCGCTAACGGGCAGATGGGGCGAGCGGGGCCAGAGGAGCGCACGGGAGCAAAGGGGCGCTAACAGGGCCGGGAGGGGCGAAAGGGCTGGCGGGGCGCTAACGGGCCGCTTTAGCCTTGGTGCAGGCGCCATGTCGTGGAGGTCCACCCGCTCGTCGTCTGTTGCACAGTCTAGTTGTGAGGCTGAGATCTACGTCTGTGAGAGTATGACCCCGTTACACCAATTTCCCTTTCCATCTCTCCTTTCTATTTCATTCCTCTTTTGGTTTCCTAATTCTCCTATTCCATTATCCTTTGGTTTATCCTGATATTATGATTATATCACCGACCAGACTCGGGATGTACTGGCACGTTATATCTAGCGCAAGCCAGCCGTAATCCCTTAAAGCCAATAGCCTCGCGTGGCTATACGCAGGGTGATTCTATTTCTAGAAGGGTCTATTCCCTTCGGATTGGATAAACCTGATTACCTGATGTACTTTGGAAGTATAAAAGCGCCTTGTATCAATCGATAGTGCAAATTTTCCTCAATACATTCGATCATATGACACTTCGTATCAGAGCTTTTCTCACTCAGCCACGCTCAGCTAAGCAGGAGCAGCGGGAAAACCTGCTTCGAAAAACCGCCGGGGGCAACTAATTCGGCGCGGATTTTGGTAAGCACCAGCTCCGCATTTTTTGAATTCACCCCTCCGTGCGTGTTTTGAACAGGATGGCAAACTTCGACAACGTCGAGGTTACCCAGCAGCTCTTCGCGAGCATCGCCGTCCTTCAAGAGGAGATGCGAGCCGATCGCGAAGCTTGGCGAAACGAGTTCGAGCGAGTAACTTGACTCGCCGGCGTGCAGCACGACATGACAACGGCGACGACGCAGCAGTCGCAACAGTTTCTCGAGGCTCCGAAACCGCGCCCACCTGAGCCGTTCGAGCCAAGCGATCGAAATTCCGATGCCCGCAGATGGATCGCCAGCATGGAGATCTACTTCGCAGCCGTCGGATGGAGCTCGCCAGTCTGGGATGGTCAACGCGTACGACTCGCGGCGACACTGATGCGAGGACCGGCACTCGAGTGGATCGGCGGTAAGAGCACCTTCATCCATGGCGAAGCCACGTGGCAGCAGTTCCGCACCGACCTGCTGAAACGCTTCGAGCCGATAAATTCAGGTTTCCTTGCCCGGCAAAAAATTCATCGCCATCGACAGTTCGGGAGTGCAACGCGATACACGCAACAGATGGAGGAATTGTATAACCGCATTCCCGACCTGACCGAAGGGGAAAACGTACAGTCGTATCTCGCAAGGCTGAAGACCAAAGTCAAACGACAGGTAGCAGCGACAAACTACGCGAGCTACAGTGACGTCGTTCCGGCAGCAGAGCGGTTCGACATGGTCAACGCCGGAACACGACGGCCGCATGTCGGCACTATGTGACAGGGCGACTGCTCGGCTCACACCACGTTCGCCGACCCGATGGAAATCGACAGGTTCGACAGGCGGCCACGTCCGAAAAACACCAACTACACGTGTCATTTTTGCTGGGTGTCGGGCCATCGAATCTTCGACTCAAACAAAATGAAAGCCGCACGCGCAGAGTATCAGGCACGCAACAGTGGTGGAAATTCTTTGGCCAATCAGAAGACAAAGAATGGAATTCGCCAGTAATTGCGGATCTAGCTGGCGAAAAAAAATGAGATCCGAAAGCTGCCGCGGGATTCCGGGAAAATCGACTTCAACGAAGCTGATTCGACGCGAGCAGGAGGAAATGATGGGGAAAAATCTCCACCCCACGACCAGTCTTTGCCAGAGGAAATCGCCGAGGATAAATCTAACTCCGCGAAAAAGGACTCTGCCAAGACGGGGAAACTCCTTGAAGACCCAAGAAATTAAAAGGATTCGTTAAATTTATCTTACAAAGATGCTTTAATGAAAACTTGTAATTCTCGAGGGGCTAGAGCCTTGGAGAAATTTCGGGAGGGACTCCAGAAGAAGCATAAACTTGTGGAGATCGTACCGGTACCGGAGAACTTGGGGACCAAATTAAGGAGTGTGGAAAAAAGCCGACCTTTCCACGGAGTCAACGTCCTCTCCCGACAACAGCCCACAACGACTACCCGTTCCCCAGGGAAGACGTCGGTGGAGCTGACGCAGCTCAAGAGGAAGCTGGGGGTCTACAAGAAGCTGCAAACACCCCGAAATCCTCCTCCGGGTGCATCGAGCTCAGCAAATTCGGCATCAACGACACACACAGTCATCAAGAAAGCTCAGGGTCTTGAGGGAGAGACTTTCTCCAAGCAGCCTCGGCCAGCTGCTAACCCACGAGCAGATAGCAAGAAAAAGGTGTGTATGGAATATTGGGATGTACCCTATGATCCTGTTAACGAAACTATCTTTGGGTACTCCGAGCAACGCCCGCCCCTCGTGCTCGAGGTCATCAGCAAAGGACAACGCCTCCAAGCACTCCTGGACAGCGGAGCATCGCACACCGTCTGCGACAAGGCAGTAATCGACCGACTTTGGGAAGAGCACAAGCCTTCAGCATTCTCTGCAACGATAGCGGATGGCAACAAGTTACCAGTACACGGCGAAGCAGTGTTACACCTACAAATCGGACCACTGCGCTGGAATCCTGCACTCCCCATCACCAACATAAAAGGGCTTGACTTGATCTTCGAGCGAGACTTCCTAAAACGATTCAACCCCGAGATCAACTGGCTAAATCGTACAGCACGCATCTACAACAGTGGGAGGAGAGTCCAACTACCCAACTGGGACGATGCAGGAGATATCCCAGTGGAGACACTCGTAAGATTTGACAAGGACGTAAAATGAACTGACACCGGATTCCTGGCGATAGCAATGGATGTGGAAAATGACGAAGAGAAAACTTCGGAACCTCCACAAAAAATCAAGGAATTACTGAAGGAGTTCCAAGACATTCTTCCCGACAACCTTCCGAACGAGCTGTCGCCATACCAAACACACCAGCCCGAGATCGTGGAAGAACCAGGTTCGAAGCTGACCTTCCGAGCACCATATCGGCTCAGCCCACAGAGCTAGCCGACATGAAGAAGCAGATTGAGTATCTCCTCGCAAAAGGACTCATCCGACCATCCACTTCGCCATACGGTGCCCCAGTACTCTTCACACCGAAATTGGACGGAAGCCTGCGCATGTGCATCGATTACTGAGCTCTCAACAAGCAGGCCATCAAGAACAAATACCCAATCCCACGAATCGATGACTTGCTTGACCAGCTTCGGGGAGCCACGGTATTTTCCAAACTAGATCTGCGGTCCGGATACTGGCTGATACGAATGGCGGACAATTCCATCCACAAAATTGCCTTTCGAACTCGATACGGGTCGTAAGAGTATCTCGTAATGCCGTTCGGACTCACCAACGCACCAGCAACGTTCCAAGCTGAAATGAACCATATTCTATGCCCACTCTTGGAGGAAGGCGTAGTGGTAGACCTGGATGACATCCTCATCTATTCGCGCGACATGCACCAACACGTCCAACACCTACGACGCGTCTTCGACATTCTCCGACGAGAACGATTCTACGTCAAGTTATCCAAGAGAGAATTCGCCCTCGAGAAAGTCCAATTCCTAGGACACATGGTGAGGGCTCAAGGAGTTCACGTCGACCCCAAGAAGATCAAAGCCGTACGCACGTGGAAGACACCCGAGAAGTGACTGAGTTGCAGTAGTTCCCAGGCTTCGCGAACTATTACAATAGGTTCGTGCCACAGTACGCAAAAAACTGCAACGCCACTCACGAATCTGCTGAAGAAGAACACGCCCTATAAGTGGGAACCACACCATCAGGAAGCCATGGAGCAGCTGAAACAAGCACTCACGTCCGCACTCGTACTCATCTTGCCAGACCCCAAACGCGACTACGTCATCGAAGCTGACGCTAGCGACCAGGCAGTGGGAGCAGTCTTGATGCAAGACTAGGGGAATGGACTGCAACCAATCGCCTACCTCAGCAAGAAACTACACGGGGCTGAACTAAACTACCCGGTATACGACAAGGAGGCCCTTGCTATTATCATCACCTTCAAAACGTGAGATGTTATCTCGAAGGACGACAAACAATCGTCTACACGACCACTGCAGCGTAAAATATTTGAAGACACAACCAAACCTCTCCAGCGGTAGGTCTGGTGGATTGACTTCCGTGACGCACTTCCACTATGACATCGTGTACAAGCCCGGCCACAAAAACAAAGCAGACGCTCTAGTCGGCCTGCACACGTTGCCGCAATCCAGGTCGAAGGGATGAACCCACTTCTCAAGGGACTCTGCACACACGGGTACGCCATCGACCCCGAAATTCCTTTGGCAGCAAAACGACACCTGCTACAGTGGGACAGTCACATCGCATACTGGAAGGGATCAACAAAATCTGGTACCCAATTACCTCCTTTGCGCCAGTTACTACTCGAAGAATACCATGATGTCCTATATTCGGGACACTTCGGTAGCAACAAAACGCTCACCTGTATTGCAAAGCACTACTAGTGGACCCACATGACAGCCGACGTCCAACAATTTGTCACCTCATGTGCAACATGTCAGCACATGAAGAGCAGCAAGCATAAAAAAGCAGGACTGCTACAGCCTCTTCCTGTCCCAGAACACCATGGCAAGTGGTTAGCCTGGATTTCATAACCGGGTTACCAACTACCACAACGGTCATGACGCAATCCTCGTCGTCATCGTCAAATTCTCCAAAATGGGACACTTCATCCGACACACACGACAGCACGCACCGAAGAACAGCACAACTATTCGTTCGCTACTGCATCTCTCAACATGGCATTCCAACCACACTCATCTCTGACCGAGACCCCAAGTTCACCAGCAAGTTCTGGAAGGAACTAATGTCTCTACTCGGAACCAAACTCCCTTGTCATCCGCCTACCATCCGCAGACAGATGGACAGACCGAGCACCTCAACCAAATTGTAGAGCAACTCCTCTGCGCAGCATGCAAAGACGACATCTCTAAATGGACTTGCATCTGTCCATCGTGGAGTTTGCCTACAACAACGTCACTCACGCCGCTACTGGACAGACGCCGTTCTTCCTCTGCTACGGACGCCACCTGCTCACCACAAAAACTGACAGCATCAGCTACAGTTCAACCCGCACACGAATTCATCACAACCATGCATCAGCTTTGGGATCGGACCCACAAGCGCCTCGTCGACATTCAGCAGCAACAGAAACGCCAGGTCGATCGCCACCGCACTGACCACACCATCATCGTGGGAGACCAAGTTCTACTTGACACCCGCAATATCAATATCAGTCATCTCCCATTCAAACTGCGACCTCGCTTCTGTGGGCCCTTTCGTTGAAGCACACGTCACTCCTGGTACCTTCTGCTTACACTGCTCGCTACCTAGAAGATTCACAACGCCTTCCATGTCCAACTTCTGAAGCCTATCGAGACCTAACACGGTCTTCACCAGACGCCACCGCCGCCGCCGCCGCCGCGCCGCCCGTCCTTGTCCACGATGAACCTGAGTACGAGTCGAGTCCGTGCTCGACACCGCCGTCGTCGGAATGGCCGTGGAGCTTCTCATTCGTTGGAAGGGTTATGATCCTTCTGAGAACTTGGGTTCCTGAATCCGAGATGGGTAACGCTTGTCGTCCTCTTCGCGACTACCTTGTCAAGCAGGGTGTTACTTCTACCACCAGCTTTGAGGGGGAAGTGTGAAAGTACGACCCGTTACACATTCTTTCCATCTCTCCTTTCATTTCATTCTCTTTTCTCTCATCTCATTTGGTTTCCTAATTCTCCTATTCCATTATCATTTGGTTTATCCTGTTATTATGATATATCACCGACAGGCTCGGGATGTACTGGCGCGCTATATCTAGCGTAATCATGCCGTAGTCCATAGAGCAATAGCCCGCATGGCTAAACGCAGGGTGGTTCTATTTCTAGAAGGGTCTATTCCTTAGGATAGGATGAACCTAGTTACCTGATGTACTTGGAAGTATAAAAGCGCTTGTATCATCGATAGTGCAACTTTTCTTCGACACATTTGATCCTATGATAACTCTGCGCCATGGCGGCACAGTAGCTCTGCTGGATGACCTTCTTGCTCACAGACTTAGGTGAGTGGCCTAGCTCTGCCCCGGTCTGTACGCTGACAACAGGGCCATAATCCTCCTGTGTCAAGCGCCTCGACTAGAGGGCAGCGGGGCCAGAGGGGCGCACGGACCGACGGGGCGTGATCGAAGGCCGTCAAGCCGCTAACGGGCCAGTGGGGCGAGCAGGCCAGAGGAGCGCACGGGGCCAGCGGGGCACTAACTGGCCGGCGGGGTGCTAACGGGCCGGTGGGGCGCTAACGGGCCGGCGGAGCACTAGCGGGCCGAGGGACGAGCAGGGCTAGAGGGCGCATGGGGCCGGCGGGCGCGAACGGGCCGGCGGGGCGCTAACGGCCGGCGTGGGCTAATGGGCCAGAGGGGGCCGACGGGGCGCTAACGGGCACTAACGTGGCGCTAAGGGGTGCTAAGGGGCGGGCAGCTAGGACTAGGACGAGAGCGGAAGCGCGGGTGGGCGGGGAGGACTAACCTAGCGCGTGATACCATCTCAGAGTAGAAAACTTTACTAGATTAGGCATACATGTTGATTTTGTTCAAGTGTTTTACCCTCTAAGAGCAGGGACCTATCTAGCCTATCATAACATATACAAATATGTTTGAAAAATACATCTGATATCAATTTGAGCCAACAATGGGTTATGTATGGCCCCATTGGCACATACCGTATCCCCGGATATAGGTGCAAAGGGGCTTATAAGGAAAACCTGGCAAAAGTGGCATGCGCTTGTAATCAAATAAATTGTAAGCCGCCGTTGACCCAAATTGCAGAAATTGCCTTTCAAGTTTATTAATCTTGAAACCCCCCGATTGGTAACCCAGTTCCCCAAAGCGAGAGCAAAAACGAAAGTTGCGCAACAAAACGACGCGAAACAGTCTGTAATCTTGCGCCCCCCCGGCTGATTATGTCCCTGCCCCCGCCACACCAGGCGTTTGAGTGGTAAGAAACTTGAACTTCCCCCCATACATTTTGGGACTTTTTGGAGTGCAAACCCAGCCCAGCGCCATTACACCCTAGGCAGCGAAAACACCATGCACAGCACACGCCAGTTTTTATTAGGGCACGGTACAAATCGTTTCAAGTGAGGTACGCGACTTGAACTCGAAAAGAAAAAAGAAAAAAAGCCTATTTGATCGCGTTGAAAATAGTCTGAACGTCTACAACCGCATCAGCTGTTTGAATTTCAGTTTGAAAACATACTCGTGATATAAGGTGTACCATGCCCTGATATGCGCAAGTCGAGTTGCTTGGCAATTCCAAGCGAGTTGCGCAACTCGGCCAGGATGCGCAACCCAGAGTCACGTGCCCTTCCTTCCCGCTGTTTCCAGTGTTCCGCGCTGTGTGCCGTGCGCCGCTCTGACCAGGTATTCTTCCCCCACTCCCCCCTGCGACTTGCACGCGCCCCCGCTTTCCTTTTCCCCACCCTCGATTTCCCCCAGTCGTTGTTTGAAAACGTTTTGATTCTGTCAAAAATTGTATGCTCGTTCTGATTGGTTTTCGTAGTATGCTGTGTTCGCCCACTCTCGCCACCCTCACACCACTCCTCCACACCCGTGTCCTTTCTCCAGCTCAACTTTTTGCCTGGTTCATCTTTATTAATCTTGTACGTTTTGGGTCAACGGCTTTAACTAAGGGATTTTATGGAAAACGAATTTGAGCACATAAAAATGTAGCTCTTGACATCTATGTTCTAGTGCGTTTCTTTCCGCTGGGCGGCATTTGACAAAACATGAGGAAATGGCCGACGAAGTTTCTGCAAGCAAATCCACCGTGCGATGGATGAATTTTCTAGCTAATCTGAGCAAAGGCAGCAAGCGAACATTGTGCTTCTTGTTTGGGAAGCGCTAGGGGGGTTACGACCTAGACTTCGATATGAAAAATCCGCGTTTCACCAGTTGTTTCACAAAAAAAAGATGCGCCTAGATGAAATACATTTTCAAAAATATGGGTGCATAATAATCAAATAACGGATATAGGCGCACTTGCACTCCATGTGCCCAGTGGGCCAAATAAAGGGATGCGCCTATCGTAATCCCCCATATATAACACCCGCCGAAATAGTCACTCCATGGGTGGTTAATACAAGGGGGGGCTTATGATACGGTGCATTTTTTATAGCACCCGTTTTTCTGACATTGAATTTTACATAACGCCCTTCTCGTTTTATTCGTTTTAAAACTGTATTTGTTCTTGTATAAAAAGATCCGCTCAGCTGCAAAAAGCGAGAAGGGTGAAATCGCGCGTCAACAACCACTAGCACCAGAAAACCGGGCAGAAACATCAATTCGCTGTGCGGAAATCCCTAGTAAGGTCGAGAGGATCTTGACCGCCCAAATCGAAATGGGGAATCGAATTGCGGGGAAGAAGGAATCGAATTGTGGGGGAAGGGGGAATCGAAATTGTGGGGGGAAGGGGGATTCGAAATTGTCAGGGGAACGGGAAATCGAAATTGTGGGTGAAGGGGGAATCGAAACTGCTGGGGAAAGGGGAACTGAAACCGTTGGGCCAGGGGTTACCAGCGTGCTACAATGTCGCACATTTTGACGAGAAAAGTGTTTGGGTGCGATTCCGCGAAGTGCGACTGAGATTCGGCTTCCCGAGATTCAGGGCATGTTTTAAAATCTCAGCTGTCTTCAGGACCTCGGTGTCACCACTACGTTCCCGGGTCAGGAGCGGTACGCTGTCTGTGCCGAGGCAGCCTCAGGTTCCCCCCTTGCGACGTTCCCCCGCGACCTGGTGTCTGGCCTCTTAACGCATGACACTGCTTCCCCCACGGGTGGACCGTACCTCCCGGGTTCTGCGTCTACCCAGGTCGACGCTGCGTGCTCGTGTCGGTCGCTCACTCACCTGTCGCTTCTGTGGCACCACCGCCTAGGTCACCTCGCACTCCCGCGTCTGCGTCACATGTCCCAGCGTGGTCTTGTCCTAGGTCTCCATGCGTCGCTTCCTGCCCTCCCTTCCTCGCCTACGCCGCCGTGCACGCCCTGTGTTGAGGGTCGGCTGCGCCGTGCGTCCTGCCACCGCACCCCTTCAGACCCTGCATCTGGACGTCTCGGGCCCAGCCCCCATCCCCGGACCGCGTCGCGAGCGCTACTTTCTAGTGCTTGTCGACGACTACACGCGCTACACTACGGTGTTTCCCTTGGAGTGGAAGGCCGACGTGCCTGACGTTCTCATCCTGTGGGCCGTGGCTACCCGCCTTTACCGCGGTCTCCCTGTGTTGTGTCTCCACTCCGACTGTGGCGGCGAGTTCACCTCTGGTCGGCTTGGACAGTTCTATCGTGCGGAGGGCATCACCCAGTCGTACTCCAACCGGACTCCCCGCAGCAGAATGGGGTCACTGAGCGACGCAGTCTGGGGGGAGGGTTGGAAAGGGTTGGTGATGCGCAAGTGCATTGTGGATTGAGGGGCCTTAGTATGACATGTTCGGGCAAACAGGGACACAGGGAGGAGGTGGCAGGCATTCTATCACTAAGGGAAGGAAACAGGGGTACAAGGCGGAGGTGTGCATTGTGGTTTGAGGAGCCTTAGAATGACACGTTTCACGCCGCCGCCAACGAGGTGACTTTTGAGTCGACTCAAACCCTCTCCATTCCGTCAAGTAAGTTGCATGATGTCGCCAGCGCCTGGTCAGCAAAGGACGCAAGGAAGTTGACACGGATGCGAAGCACAGCGGGCTAGCTCTCCTAAATATCTGCCAACTTAGAGAAGTACACCTGCACAACGGGCTGGCTCTTCTATGTATCTGCCAGCTTACCCAGATACGCGAGCTTGTTATCATAGGTGAGCAGGAAGTTTCCAGGATGCGGGTCCGCGTGGTAGAAGCCGTAGTCCAGCAGCTGAGACAGCGACCTGAACACGCCCACTTGAGGGGTTAGAGGGAGGTGAGAGGGCCATGAGGGGGAAGAGGCAAAGGATGATAATGAGATAGCGAGCACTACACGCCCACCTGGAGGGGTGAGAGGGGGAAGGAGGGACAAGTAAAGGGAGAAGTGTACAATTGAGCGGCTTGGTCATGGAGGTGGCATGTACCTACATGATTCATGCCGGTGCACCCCATTTCTGTGGTCGTTCGCCGTTCACTACGCTGCTCACCAGCTTAACCTCTGGCCGCGCTCTCAGCGGCCGCAAGTTTCGCCGACCCTTCTTTGGACCGGGTTCCTTGGTGACGGGTCCGCGTTCCACGTCTGGGGCTGCCTTGCTCACGCCCGTGCCTCCGGCACGGACAAGCTCACTACCCACACTGTCCCCTGTGTCTTCCTCGGTTTCCCCCTGGACTCGTCTGACTGGCACTTTTACTCCCGCAGTCTCAGTGCTTCCTTCACTCCCGTAACGTCACCTTCGACGAGTCTGTCTCCTTTTACCGTCGCTTTCCCCACCGAGGTCTCCCAGTTTCCCCACCCCTGTTTCTGGTCCCCACTCCCCCGGTCGCCCCGGCTCCCCTTCCTCCCCGTCCTGCTCCATCTGGTGTGTCTCACGTCACCCCCCCTCCCCCATCGGTTGTACCGGTCGAGGAGTCGGTTGACTCTGGTGGCCCTGCGGCACAGCTCCTGCCGCCTGTCTCCCCCAGTGTCTCCCTCCTCGCCGTCGCAGTCTTTGCCGCCGCAGCCGCCGCCACCGTCGCAACAGCCGCCGCCGCCGCAGCAGCAGCAGCCGTTCATAGGCTCTGGGGGTGCTGGCGTTGAGGAGGGTGCTAGTCCTGGGGTTCCTGTCGTGGCTTGTCCCGGCGGGCTCGGGGTGGCACCGGTTCTGGAGAGGGTTCTCGTTCTGGGGGTGCTGGAGTGGAGTGTTCCAGAGGTAGCCCTGGTGCACTTGGCAGTCAGGTGTCAACGTCGAGCAGCCGTAGCAGTAGTCGCCACCGGTGTCCGCCCTTCGCCTGCTCGGCCTTCTATCACCTGACCGCTTGACTGCGCTTCCCCCGCCGCCTCCTCCCCTACCTGTTCACGGCCCTGTGTTTCCTCCGCCGGACTCGTCCCCGGCTCATTTCCCACCGCGTTCCCCTCCTGTTGCACCTCCTCTATCTCCTGACCCGACGCCTCCATCTCATGTCTGGTCTCACCGTCACACCCGTGCCCGCCCCGTCTCTCCTGTTCAGCACTCTCTCCCTATGTTGCTTCGTTCCCACACATCTCGTCCTCCCCTCCTGCCTCTGCCTCCTCCGTTGTCGTTCACTGTCGTGCCCCCCCCTCTGTGTGACTACCTTCCTGCTGCTCGTCCTCTTGTTTCTCGGGTCCTTGCCTCCCTCGTTACCGACCCGTCAGTTCCTGTCTCCTGTCTTGACGCTCTTGTCGCGGCTGTCGCTGACTTCGCCACTACTCGCCGCCTTGACTACGCCACCGCTCTGGTCTCTGACCCTATTCATCCTCCGTCCGTCAGGGGTGCTCCTGCCCTTGGCAATGACGTCCTAGAGGACAGGCAATACAAGCTGCTTTCCTATCAGTGGCTGCTCCCCATCTCTGTTCCATGCTGCTAGTCCATGAGGGTGACCAGACGCTTTCGACATCCCGACCTCTTTGGATCCACTGAGGCGACCTCGGGACCCTTGGCCTCTCACTGCCATGGAGATGGAGATGGCATCTTGGAGATCCACTGGCAACTACGTCGACGCAGTTCCCCAACCTGGGGTGAACGTAGTCGATGGCAGGTGGCTCTTCAAGGTGAAGCGCCCTCCTGGAGAGCCGCCTGTGTTCAAGGCGCACTACGTGGCTCGAGCCTTCAATCAGCGCGAGGGGGTGGACTTCTTTCAGACCTTCTCTTCGGGCACTGCTATACGTAGCAGCACAGCGTGACTATGAGCTTCACTCCCTCGACTTTTCCACTGCTTTTCTTCAAGGCAGCCTACACAAGCAGGTCTACCTGCGCCATCCTCAGGGCTTTACTGGTACCTTCCCTCCTGGGACCCAGTGGCTCCTCCGGCGCCCGGTCTACGGCCTGCGACAAGCGCCCCGTGAGTGGCACGGCACGCTGCGTGCTACTCTAGCTAACCTGCAGTCCTCTGCAGACGCCTCGCTCTTTGTTCGTGCTGGCCAGACCCCGTTCTACATCTTTTTCTACGTAGACGACCAAGTCTTCGCTACTGCAGACAGAGACACGCTGGCCTCCGTGTGTTAGTATTAAGGACGGAGTCTAGGTGAACTTAGGAGCTAGAATTACTCAAAATATAAATCCGAAATTCTGGACAGAAAAGTCGTCTTCACAAGAAACGACGTCGACGGAAAACTAGCCGTTGGAATGTCGCGAAACTCAGATATGTTGTAGCTCTTAATCTCAGCTACCGTTCCCAATTTGAAACACGTTGATTGATGAAGTATTCGCGACGCTATGGCTTTCGACGCATTAGGGGGTAAGCTGTAGGAGGAGAACTTAACTCAATCTCAAAAGTTCAATTAAAGTTCAAGAATCTCACAAGGAATTAGAGGAGCAAGAGAAAGGTTGGGATAGAAGAGAGGGATGAGAGGGAAGGTCCCAAGAGAGTCCCAACCAAGGAAACCATAAGCCACAAAGATTCCCTCCTATAGGAACCCAACTTTGACATTTGTCCCTTCCCAACCAATCCATCCAAGTTGGCCACCTTGCCAACCTAGCTTGGTTGTTCCCAACCAATTTGCAGCTGTTTACAGTAGAGTGACGAATTTCCCCAACCCAAAGGTCCCAACTCCATATAAAGTCACCCCACAACTTCACTTTGTAACCGCCGCAATTGTAACGCAAGCTCATGAACTTTGAATCTTCATAGCTTTCGCGTTCTTGCTCCGATTGACGCGATTCTTGTTGCGTCGGAAAGATCTTCTCAAGATCTATCATCACAAATACCTGCTCAGACAGAATAACACAAACACATTCCCAAACTCCAGAACAACACACACAAATTCTTTCACACCACAGTCAAACCATACGTGCGAATTGAAACAAGGGATGGGAGGCAGACAGAATGTGATAACATATGATGACATCACACAACACCGTGAAGGCCGAGCTACTGAGGAGACACACTTGCACAGACCTAGGAGAGCTGTGCCGCTACCTTGGCTTGCAGATCTCCAGGGACAGAGCCGCGCGCACCATCACTCTCACACAGTCACACTTGGTGCGACAGGGCCTTCAGAGGTTTGGTCTTCAGTTCTTCTCTGCGCAGCCCACGCTTCTGCTAGTAGACCACAGGCTCTCAGCTCCAGTTCCTGAGGAGTGAGCAGAGCCCAATGGTCCTTACACAGAACTGGTGGGTTGCCTCATGTCCCTGATGACTTGCACTCGTCCAAATCTTGCATACCCTCTCAGAACCCTAGTTTGCTTTGTGGCCACAGGCAGACACCGACCACAGCACCGGTCGGCCGCTATGTGGGTTTTGCGTTATCTAGCATGTACATCGGGCATGGGCTAGTGCTGGGAGGACGCAGGCCAATGGTCCTTACTGGGCACACTAATGCTTCTTGGGCAGACAACGCTGAGACCCTCAAGTCCTCCTAGGGCTACTGCTTTAGCCTTCTTTCAGGGTCCATCTCGTGGAGGTCCACTCGCTCCTCGTCTGTCGCCCAGTCTAGCTGTGAGGGTGAGATCTAGGCTGGTGCCATGGCGGCACAGGAGCTCCACTGGCTGACCGTCTTGCTCGCCGACTTAGGTGAGCGGCCTAGCTCTGCCCCGGTTCTATCCGCTGACAACAGGGCCATGATCCTCCTGTGGCAAGAGCCTCGACTTGAGGGCAGAGAGAAGCTTATCCAGCTGCGGTAATTTCTCCTGCGCGAGCTACAGAAGCGTCGCCAGGCTCGTGTAGTACACTTGGCCTCCGGTGCCAACACAGCTGATATCTTTACTAAGGCGCTTGCGCCTAGAGATCATCAGCGGCACTGTTTGCAGCTTGGTCTAGTTCCTGTAGACTCTCACTTGCTAGGACCTTGATTGTGTACTCGTCTATATTTATACCTTCCAGACTGGCCTTGTGGCTTCTCTTTCAGTGGCTGGACTAGTAGTGCCGCCCTGATTTGCTCTTGTCTTGTTTGTACTCTAGGTGACTGGTCTTCATACCCTGCCTCAGAGGTTGGACTAGTAGTGCCACCCTGAGCTGTGTGTTTCTTGCTCAGCACTACCCTTATCTAGCCTAGGGGGTGTGTCAACATATGCATATGATGTTATAAATTATAGGCTACATGGGTGTATGTTCTTAGTGGGTACATCCTCAACACTATATCTCTCTCTGTTCTCCCTTGTTTCATTCATTCTAGTATTCTAACAAATGGGGCCTGGAACACTCAAATTCATTTTGCATTTGACATAACGCTATCAGAGTGAGAGAAGTGAATGATTGAGTAGAGGGAGAGTACAGATAGATATACCTAAGTATTGTACCCTCTAAGAGGTGACCCTATACAATCTATGCAAACATAACAAATACACATGTTTGACACACCCCCTAGACTGCATAGGGGAATGTCCTAAACAAGCAGCTCAGGGCGGCACTACTAGTCCAACCTCTGAGACAAGGGTCTAGAGACCAGTCAGAAGGAGTACACAAGGCAAGAACAAGGCAGGGCGGCACTACTAGTCCAGCCACTGGAGAGGACACAAGTCCAGTCTGAGTATACATATAAAGGACAGTACAAAGTCAAGGTCCTAGCAAGTGAGAGGCTACAGGAACTAGACCAAGCTGTACACAGTGCCGCTGATGATCTTTAGGCGCAAGCGCCTTCGTAAAGATATCAGCTGTGTTGGCACCTGAGGCCAAGTGTACTACGCGAGCCTGACGTCGCTGCTGTAGCTCACGCAGGAGGAAGTACCGCAGCTGAATGTGCTTCGCTCTGCCCTCGAGTCGAGGCTCCTGACACAGGAGGATCATGGCCCTGTTGTCAGCGAACAGGACCGGGGCAGAGCTAGGCCGCTCACCTAAGTCAGTGAGCAAGAAGGTCAGCCAGCGGAGCTCCTGTGCCGCCATGGCACCAGCGTAGATCTCAGCCTCACAGCTGGACTGGCAACAGACGAGGAGCGGGTAGCTCTCCACGAGACGGCACCTGAGCCAAGGCTGAAGCAGTAGCCCTGGGTAGACCTGAGTGTCTCGTCGTCTGCCCACGAAGCGTCTGTGTGTCCAGTAAGGACCACTGGCCTGCGTCCTCCTAGCACTAACCCCATGCCCGATGTACTAGCAAGATAACGCAGAACCCTCTTAGCGGCAGACCAGTGCTGCGGTCGGTGTCTGCCTGTGGCCACAAAGCGAGCCAGGATGCTGAGAGGGTATGCGAGATCTGGGCGAGTGCAAGTCATCAGGTACATGAGGCAACCCACCAGCTCTGCGTAGGGGCCGCTGGGCTCTACCACTCCTCAGACACTGGAGCGGAGAGTCTGTGGTCTACAGGCAGAGGGGTGGGCTGTGCAGAGGAGAACTGAAGGCTGAACCTCTGAAGGACCTGGCGCACCAAGTGTGACTGAGTCAGGGTGATGGTGCGCGCAGCTCTGTCCCTGGAGATCTGCAAGCCAAGGTAACGGCGCAGTTCTCCAAGGTCAGTGCACGTGTGTCTCTCCAGCAGCTCTGCCTCACGGAGGCCAGTGCGTCCCTGTCTGCTGTGGCAAAGACCAGGTCGTCGACGTAAACAAGGATGTAGAACGGAGTCTGGCCAGCACGAACGAAGAGTGAGAGGTCTGCGGAAGACGGAAAGAACTGCAGGTCAGCTAGCGTAGCACGGAGAGTGTCGTGCCACTCACGGGGAGCCTGGCGCAGGCCGTAGACGGGGCGCCGCAGGAGCCACTGGGTCCCAGGAGGGAAGGTGCCGTAAAGCCCTGAGGGCGATGCAAGTAGACCTGCTCGTGTTAGGCTGCCCTGAAGAAAGGCAGTGGAGAAGTCGAGGGAGTGAAGCTCGTAGTCACGCTGAGCAGCTAGGTGTAACAGAACCCGAAGAGTAGTCATCTTCGGGGTCGGAGCGAAGGTCTGGAAGAAGTCCACCCCCTCGCGCTGACTGAAGCCTCTAGCCACATAGCGCGCCTTGAACACAGGCGGCTCTCCAGGAGGGCGCTTCACCTTGAAGAGCCAGCGGCCATCGACTACGTTCAACCCCAGGCGGGGGAACTGCGTCGACGAAGGTGCCGGTGGATCTCCAAGATGCCATCTCCTGCTCCATGGCAGCTATCCACTGCAAGGCCCAGGGTCCCGAAGTCGCCTCAGCGTAGGTGCGAGGGGTCGGAATGTCGAAAGCGTCTGGGTCACCCTCAGGGACTAGCAGCATGGAACAGAGATGGGAGCAGCCTCGGACAGGAAAGCAAGCTCGAACTGGCGGTCCTCCAGGACGTCACTGCCAAGGGCAGGAGCACCCCCGACAGACCGAGGACAGGCAAGGTCAGAGACCAGAGCGGTGGCGTAGTCAAGGCGGTGGGTAGAGGCGAAGTCAGCGACCGCAGCGACAAGAGCGTCAAGGCAGGAGACCGGAAAGACGGGTCAGTAACGAGAGAGGCATGGACCCGAGGAACAAGAGGACGAGCGGCACGAAGGTAGTCAGACAGCGGGGGGGGTGCAACAACAAGGGAGGACGGAGGAGGCGACGGCAGAAGGGGAGGACGAGACGCATGGGAACGAAGCAACATAGGGTGGGAGCGCAAGACAGGCGAGGCAGGACGAGCACGGGAGGGACGGTGAGAACCAGACGTGCGACGGAGGAGTCGGGTCAGGAGACAGGGGAGGGGACACAGGAGGGGAACGAGGGGGAAGACGGGCCAGGGACGAGTCCGGCGGAGGGAACACAGGGCCGTAGACGGGAAGAGGAGGAGACGATCGGAGAGGAACAGACGCAGGGTCGGGGGACGGCAGGCCGAGCAGGCGAAGGGCTGACACCGGCGGGACTGCTGCTTGCGGCGGCACAATGGCGACACCTGGACCGCAAGCTGCTCCTCGGCTACCACCGGCACACTCCACACCAGCACCCCCAGAGGGACCACCCCCAGGGCGACCGGGACGAGCACCCCCAGAGTCGGCGGCGGGTGCTGCGACGGGCGGCGGCGGGGCGGCGGCAGCGACAACGACGGCTGCAGCGGCGGCTGCAGCGGCGGCAGAGGCGGTGGAGGAGGGGACTTGGGGAGGGGACGCCGGGGGAGGGGCGGCCGGCGAGGACTGCGCAGCAGGGCCACTAGAGTCAGAAGACTCCTCAACCGGGTCTACCGACGGGAGGAGGGTGACGTGGGACACACCAGAGGGGGCAGGACGGGGAGGAGGGGCAGGGACTACCGGGGAAGGAGTGACCAGGAACAGGGGGGGGGTAACCGGGGGACCGCGGTAGGGGAAGCGACGGTAGTAGGAGGCGGACTCGTCAAAGGTGACGTCGCGAGAGTGAAAGAAGCGGTGAGACGGCGGGTGGTAAAAGTGCCAGTCGGACGCGTCAAGGGGAAAACCGAGGAAGACGCAGGGAAGGGTGCGGGC